CATAGCTCCACCCATGTGGATGTAGCAAGACAATGTCCTTGGAACCCAGGAAGGGCAGGGCAGTCTGGCATGGCTGCTGCCAAACACCTCAGTCACTCAGCCAGAAAGTGACTCAGTCACATGCAAGGTTGGTCTCCCACAATCATGCTGTTGTTGACTTTCTTCTCACATTTCCTTGAATTTTTTTACATTTGATTATGATGTTTCCTACACTGAAGTATCTTACACTTAAAAGAAGAATGTTTTTATTCCAAGCCATCAAGGTCTATATTCAGAATTTTTTTGAGATGAGTTTGTGCCTCCTACACCTGGTATGTTATGGATGATTCCTGGGATAATTGATGGACTCCACCCAAAACTGTTAGAAATAATAAACAAATTCAAGAATTAATAGGATACAAAATAAATACACAAAACACTTATCATCTCTATAGAGTAAAAGCAAAATTGCTACAAAACAAATCAAGAAGTCAATATATTTTAATGGCTTTAAAAGATATCTAAAAATAAATTTAACTGTCTGCTTAGGTTGTCTGGGATGAACCTCTTTGTCTTTATCTTCTACTTTGTCATTAAGCATCCCAACCCTCATATTACAATGTGTTTCTGTCTGATGTAACTTTTCTTTGAATTGTCCAATATCTCTGTTTTTAGTTTTGGAATCATACTTGCAATTGAGGTCAGACAGGCAACAGAGCTGTTTGGCCTTTTTTGTCTTTCTCCTGTCTCTGTTCTGTCTTCACAGCTGATGCAGGGTGGGTTGCATCATGCACTCCTTGAACTTGATGTCAAGAGTAATAAACCATCCCCTCTTGCAACCTTTAGAACATATAATCACTAAACCAATTGATCAGTGTTCATGGCAATGAATTTAAACAGTCAAGTGAAACAGTTAAAGGAGTAGGAAATTTATTCACTGAAGACAAGGGAAACATTTAATTCATGTTATTTTATTTTTGTTCTTTCAACTTTGCCACATATTGGGACTGCCCACTAATTACTGTGAGGAACGATGCCCTAGAGACAGTTTCTTCTAATCACTTTTTTTCTTTATGGAAAAAAAGTTGTTGCCCTTTTTCTTACCAGCTGCTATTGTCTGTGCCCTCCTTGTATTTAAATACAGAGATACTCAGGGCTGAGAAAAGTCCCAAGACAGGTAGGTCTGCAGGTGACGCCTCACCTGGACCCTGCTTTGCCCAGCTCTGTTGCTGATCTGCTTCCTAACTGGTAAGCTGCTGACTTTCTGAGATAGAAAGTAGATATGAAAATAGAATAAATAAAACTAGAAAAGGCTCAGAAGGCATAACAGGTCTCAGACTTGAAGGGGATTGAAGCTATGTGGAGCAGAATATATTAAAAACACACAAATTATCAACCTCAAAAATATCATGTTTGTGTTGTAGACTTTTCATGCTACAGCACACACACACACACACACACACACACTCACACACACACCTGTTTTCACTACTGTTGCAGAAATATCTTAGCACATTTTCATTTCCACACCACAGCAATGAACTTAAAACACCTCATATTGAGAGGTGTGAAGTGAGGTGGAGGATTATTTAGTGAAGCATCACTGTCAAGCAAGCCTAGTGATTAATCATCACACATTTATTCACTTTACATGTGCTCGTAAGAATCACAATCAGTCATAGTAAAACTATAGCTAGTTAGAATTGAAATGCACATGTTTCTTTTTGTAAGATAACTTGATGTAACAGCTGAGGTGTTCTTGAGCCCAAATGTGATAATTCCAGAGGGAGGCAGGAGCAGGGCAGATTCTCCCTCAGCAGATGAGGTAGTTTGGGGCCTTAACCTGGATGATGGTGGCTTTTGGAAAATACCAGTGCAAAATGGCCATTGTTTCAGTGAGATGAAAGAGGGGTCTCAGTGAAGTACTCTGAATATTTAATAAGTTAGGAATTGCATTTGCATTTCATTTTCAGCATTTCAAAATCCAATTGATTTAAACTTTAGGTGCAGAAAATGATATTAGAAAACAAGGACACAAATGTCTTGGTAAAAATTTACCTAAACTATAAAAAAGGCAATGAATGAAATACCAATAAAAATGAAGAAAGAAAAAAAATCACATAGAAGAAGAAAGGATGGTAAACAATATTAAATGCTTTTAATTGGGGATTTGTGTTGTTCATATAATAACCCAAGGCTAAGCATGAAGGCTAAAATATCAAATAAGCTAAAGGATATTTAAATATATGTATAAGCTTAAAGGTTAATTCCTATTATCAGGGAATGAGTACTATTAACTTATGTACTCTTTAGAAAAATAAACTACATAAATTTAAATAGAATCATAAATATTTTATTTTAGTGAGGAAGAATTCCCAGATGATCCTGAATACAAAATAACAGATTTGTAATGAAAATGTAAATCACATGCCCATTAGGGCCTTACCATCTTAGGTCTGAATTACAGAGAGGAGATACAGAGGTTATTTATTGGTGGTGTGATGAGTTAGGTAAAAATCAGCCCTGCATGTGGGGCTGGGGGAGGGCATCCCCCATCCCTGTTTGGAAGCTCTGTCATTATAGAGTTTGGAAAGAGTTGGGTTGCTCTCATAAAAAAATGCACTCATGGCAAGAATGGAGGAATTATTTACACAGACATTTTTCTCAGTGTTTAGATAAGAAAAACATGAATAGAAAATACATCCAAAATATGATTAAAATCATTACAAAAAGTCTGGCACTAAGGTCAAGTAGTATGAAGCTCTGAATCACACTCAAGGATTGACACTTATGAAGGAGTTTAAAGACGTGAGGCTGCATGCACAACTGTAAAGCTCCTGGACTTGGGATTCTAATCCATATCTGGCATCCTTTATGAAAAACAGTGACGTATATTTTCACATCACATCTAATAAAATGTATTATGAAAATAAGAACTCAAACCTCTATAGTAAATATTTTATTGAAGTTACAGTGTGATTACAGTTGATTTTATTGCTTCTTTTTAATGTATCTTTATTTGTAGTATTCACAAAATTCATTTATAAAGAAAGCATATAATCTTTTACAAATATAATTCAATACAATTTTTTTTTAAAAGTAAACACATAATATCACTGACCTCAACTTACTTTTCTCTTTTGTATGAAGAACCAGAACCTGTTGGAGTCGTTTCAAAAGTCAAATCCCAGTGCATAACCTGCAAGCTCTAGTCCAGTGCCAGAGTCAGCATAAGTAAGTGGTCACGTGAGACTCGTGGGATGGGGCACCTGGAGGAGGGGGAACTCCTAACACAACACAGTGCAGGTCAGTCCTGGGACGTGGTGGGCACCCCAGGAGAGGGGCGAGTTCAGCTGCGGGCCTGGGGCCCCTGCTCCTGTCCCCTTGCCCTCCCTGCTGGGCTCTCAGGCTGTGCCCTGCTCAGCGCTTGGCTTCCATTCCTTATGGTAGCAGCCATCTCTGCTTCTAGCCTCCTTCACCGCCTTCTGCAGTTATGACAGCCAGCCTTGTTTGCTTTTGTAGAACACATTGTTTCAAAAAATGGGGCCCTTATGATTTATTTGTTCATTGATGTACTTTCTCCATGGACTTCTGAGCTGCACCAAAGCAAGAATTTCATCTCTTGTTCGCAGTATGTCCACAGATCTGAGCAAAGCACCTGGCTCATGAGAATCAATTACTGAAGAACAGTGATAGGTTTCTAGAATGTTCCATAAGATTTTACACTATTTGGCCACATTCAAAGGCTAATTTCCAAATGAACAACTCCAATTCCATTTCACCTAACACAAGTTTTATGTCCTCTGCCTCTCACGTTCCTGATTTCTTTGGAAGATTTCTACATTTCTGGGAAGACAAAACAAAACAAAACAGTATTCTGGTGCTAAGTTCTGTGTCCCAGTTAGTTTATTTAACCAATGCCTCTGCCAAACCTTTTCCTCCTTGCCAAGTAGAAAATGTTTAAATAATACCAATTTCATAAACATCTCACTTGGTGTACCCCCTCTCTTTCTATCCCCCTCTCCCCATTCATCTCTCTCTCTCTCTCTCTCTCTCTCTCTCTCTCTCTCTCTCTCTCTTTCTCTCTCTCTCTCTGTTTTGGTACTGGGGATTGGACCCAAGGGCACTTAACCACTGAACCACATACCCAGCCCTTTTTTGTTTTTTGTTTGGAGACAGGGACTCACTGACCTGAGCTCTGGGATTATAGGCATGTGTCCCTGCACCCGGTCTATCTCTATTTTTCAGGAATAGTAATTTCTTGATATTTATACTTTATTCCTAGTTGGTTTTTGAGGATTACAATGATAAACATTTTAGGGTAGAATCAAGCAGCAGTTATAGTGATTTCAGTTTCACCAGTTCTGGGAATGTCAGTATTGTTTCTGGAAGGACCCTGTCGCCCCTTTTCTTCTGGAACAGAATCCTCTATGGCAATGGTTGTTGTAGCCATTCATCATGTAAGAACAGTGATGGGGTTGCTATGCTTGGTTCTTTAATTTAAGTTACTTAAGGCCAAGGAAGTGGTGCCCAACCCACTTTACACTCCTTAAACATTGGTATCTCTTCTATGCCCAGGTACTGCTTCAATCACTCAGAGAACGGTACTGAAGATTACACTGGGGGAACAGGACTATTGGTTCTGGGATAATCTATAGCCCATGCATTTCTATTAATATCACCAAATAATGGTAAATAATATCTGCTTCTTTTGGAGGAAAACATAGATAAATGAAAGTTAAACTTTTTCCACTTTAATTCCATGTATAAACATGGCTGAGTGTATAATCTGGAAGGAGCGTGTAAGTATTCTAAGGTGATCATGTAAGGTTTTCATCGGGGAATGCAGGGGCTGCAGATTTTACAGAACAGTTACAAGAGGTGTTGCAAAACCACCTTGGTTTAAACAGACATTTATAAGAAAGTCATTGCATCCAATTATCCTCTCCAAATAAATGGCAGTAGAGTCTTTCTCCAAATTTTATACACAAAATCTTGCTTACCATTATGTTCGAGCCCTGATGCCAAAAACCACAGGGAGGACCAATCAGAGCTTCCCTGTGGGCTTCGTCCTGCTCGGGATCTCTGAGTGGCCTCAGCTGGAAAGGATGCTCTTCTGGGTTGTGATCCTCTTGTTCACCGTGACCATCCTCAGCAACTCCAGCATCGTCCTGCTGTCCTGCATGGACCCCCATCTCCACACCCCCATGTACTTCTTTCTTGGCAATCTTTCCTTCTTGGATCTCTGCTTAACCACTGCCTCTGTGCCCCAGATGTTGTTCCACCTGTGGGGGCCAGACAAGAGCATCACCTACACAGGGTGTGTAATCCAACTGAGTGTGTTCCTCTGTGTTGGAGCCACAGAAGGTATGCTGCTGGTGGAGATGGCCTTTGACCGCTACATTGCTGTCTGCCAGCCCCTGCACTACACTGTCCTCATGCACCGTCCACTCTGTTGGAAGCTGGTTTTCCTAGCCTGGCTGTCTGGTCTAATAGTGTCTCTGTTCCAATCTTCCACCACCTTCCAGTTGCCCTTCTGCCCCCATCACCTCCTGGATGGCTTTCTGTGTGAGGTGCCTGTCCTCATGCGCCTTGCCTGTGGAGACACCACTGCCAATGAGTGGCAGATGACCATCACAGCTGTCATCTTCACCATGGTCCCTATGGGGCTGATCCTGGCTTCCTATGGCTGCATAGCTCAGGTTGTGAGGAGCATGAAGTCAGAGGAAGGAAGGAAGAAAGCCATTTCCACCTGCTCCTCCCACCTCCTCGTGGTCTTCATGTTTTATGGGACAGTGGCCATGGTGTACACTGACCCTAAGAGCAACTTTGCTTCAAAGAATGGCAAGTTTTTCACCTTCTTCTACACTGTGGTCACACCCTTGTTGAACCCTCTCATCTACACCCTGAGGAACCAAGAGGTACAGGATGCTTGGCTGAGACAGCTGGGAAAGTGGGTGAACCCAAGGAAAAGCAAATAGTGGAGGATTTGAATCAAAAAGAAGCTTATTAATGACATGCACACAGTCTCCTAAATGGAATCTCTCTGCAAAAGAGGTGTAAACCCTTTTGCAAACATACTATTTATATGTTAAACTACAATTGATCACACCATTTCTGTTTATTGTGACAAAACTGTTGACATTTAGTAAGAGCTATTAAGTTTAAGGGTATATATTGTTTGCATTGGGTGCTGTTAATATTGATCTCCTTCTTAAAGGTGAGATACTGAAGACTTTAGGGGACAATAGAAGTCTATAGGGTAGAAACTGTGCTGCCTCAGATCCACAGTATGAGAAGCCACATGAACAACATGAAAAAACAAGGGAACAAAGTACCCCAGAGAAAGAAAGATGCTAGAACAACAGAATCCACTGATGACACAGTGGAAGAAATATCAGAGAAGTTCAGAATGTGTGTAGTTAAGCTGATCTGTCACATAAAGTATGATGGAAAGAGTGAAATCAGAGACAAATTTCAGGAGGTAAAATATAACTTCAATAAAGACAGATTATGAAATGAAATCAAACAGAAATTCTATAATCTTGAATGCTGAGAGCCACAGCCGAGTTGGAATGACACATGACATTTTTGCCAGAAGGGAGTGGTTGAGAGGTGATGGTAGCGAGCCATTGAGATGATGATGGTTATGGTAAGCTGTGTATTCAATTGTATATTAGACCCCTGCTGTTCACCTCTGGCACCCGCTACTTTGGAGTTCTTGCAGGGATGCCTGGGGAGTTCACGTTGGTTGGAGAAGTTTCGGAGGAGGGATTTCCGGTTGGTGGTGTTCCTGGAAGGACCCTGTGGGTGGCGTTTGTGGGTGTTTGGGCAATAAAGGAGTTCCTGTTTTGAACCTACAAGTGCCTTGTGGCGGCTTGGTTACTTTGTGCCCAGCCAGACTGCAGCACTTGAAAATAAAGTTGACCACAAAGAGATGATGGTAAGAAACCACAAACCGAAATTCCAAGAATTATGGGACAATATGAAAAAAACAAAATGTAAGATTTATCAGTATAGAAGAAGGCACATATATACAAGTCAAAGGAATGCATGATCTTTTCAGTGAAATAATACAGAAAATTTCCTCAAACTGAGAAATGAAATGGAAAGTAAAATACAAGAGTCTTTGAGGATCCCCAAATTAACAAAATTACAAGAGACCTACATGAATGCACAAATGCCTAACATAGAGAATTAGGATAAAATTTTAATAGCCGCAAGAGAAAATTATGAGATTACCTATGGGGAAACTATTTTGGATCTCATTTGATTTCTCAACCCACACCCTCAATGCTAGGAGCTCCTGGAACAACATATACCAACTCCAAAAGAAAATGGATGCCAGCAAGAATCTTATATCCAAAACAATTAAGCTTCAGATGTGAAGATAAAATAAAAACTGCCCATGATAAACAAAAGTTAAAATAATACACAACTAGAAAGCCTGCAATACAGAACATTCTCAGCAAAATATTCCATGAGGATGAAATAAAAAAAAGTGAAAACCAGCATAGGGCAGAAACACACTAAAGAAAAAGCCAATCAAAGGAGAAACTAAATCAAGTTAAAAACTGATAATATGTTGTTCCAGGATATCCTGCCTTTGAGGATCTGGGTTGAAAAATCTGCTGTGATCTGAATTGGTCTTCCTTATATGTAATTTGATTTTTTTTTCTCTTGTGGCCTCTAAAATTCTATCCTTATTCTGTAGGCTGGGCATTTTCATTGTAATGTTTCTTGGTGTAGATATATTATAATTTTGTACATTTGGCCTCTTGTATTTGATTTTCCAATTCATTTTTATGCTTGGGAAATTTTCTGCTATTATTTCATTGAAGAGATTGTGCATTCCTTTGATTTGAATCTCTGAACCTTCCTCTATCTTAATAAATCTTAAATTTGGTCTTTTGATGGTATCTCATAATTCTTGAGTATTCTGCTCATTTTTTTTTTTTTTTTTTTTACCATCTTCACTGTGAGGCCATTTTTCCAAGATTGTATATTGTTTCTTTATTTTCTGAGGTTCTGTCTTCCAAGTGATCTAGTCTGTTGTTGATGCTCTCCATTGTGTTTTTTATTTGGCTTATTGTTGCTTTCACTTCAAAACTTTCTGTTTGTTTGTTTGTTTTTCAGAATCTCTCTCTCTTTCTTGAAGTAATCTGTTGCTACCTGTATTTGCTCTCTTATCTCTTTGTTGGTGTGATTGATGGTTGCATGTATTTGCTCTCTTATCTCTTTGTTGGAGTGATGGATTTTTGCCTGTAACTGCTTACTTAAGTTGTTCTTTAATTCCCAGATCATTTTAGTTATGTATATTCCAAACTCCTTCTCTGATACATCATCTATGGTGCTATCTACGGATTCTATTGTTGTAGTATCTTGGTTTGTTTGGGGCACTTTCCTCCCTTGTGTTTTCATGATGTCTATGTGACTTCCCTCTTGTAGCATAGATCCGATGTATTATAGCTTCTGCCCTATTGTTCTATAATGTCTCTATAGGTTACCAATACCTCACCTTTAAGGGGGAGATCAATATTACAGCACTCAATGTACCCAATGTTCAGCCATAGATCAGTTAGCTTCTATTTTTACATTTACAGTTTTGTCACTATAATCATAAATGTGTTTGGTTATCTTATACCATATAGTCAATAGGTTTATGTAATGGTTTGCAGTTTCTAATTGTAGAAGGGGGGCCTGGGGGTTTGGCTGAGATGTTTATGAGGTAGGATGTGAGAGTATGGAGATATTAGATTATATGACTAATGAGAGGGTAATCATAAGAAGTTTGTTGTTAGAAGGAGAAACAAGATATAGGGAACCCCATGCAAGACTCCCTGTCACCTTAGCAACAGGATAACTGCTATCAACCCTAATAGAGATAACTCTGGTGAAGCCAGGGCCACAGGGACCTTGGTGATATCTTACCAGGTCCTTATTGTTGTCCCTTGATAGAAGCAGTGATATCCCAGTTTCATGGTGATGGCACCCTCAAGCCTATATGTACCCTGATGTAGGGCTGTGGAGCCACGCTTTGGTAAAAAAGAAACCTAGCATGGGGTGCCTCTCTCTGGGTTGCTGGGCCACAGAGCGCTGGAGTGGGCAGAGATCCTGGAACAACACATACCAAGTTCTAAAAGATAATGGATGCCAATCAAGAATCTTATAGCCAGCAAAATTAAGCTTCATATTTGATGACAAAATAGAAACTTTCCATGATAAACAAAAGCTAAAAGAATTTACACCAAGAAAGCCTGCACTGTAGAAAATTCTTGGCAGAATATTCTACAAGGAGGAAATAAAAAACAACAATAAATATCTGCAAAGGGAAGAACTATAATAAAGGAAACACCAACCAAAGGAGAAACCAAGTCAAGTCAAATAAATAAGAATGACCAGAAATACAAATCATGTCTCAATAATAACTCTGAATATTAATGGCCTAAGCTCAACAATCAAAAGTCTTAGACTGGTAGATTGGATTAAAAAAAAGACCCAATAATATGCTTCCTTCAAGAGACTCCTCTCATAGGAAAAGACATCCACAGACTGAAAATAAAAGGTTGGGATAAAGCAGCAATTTCATCGTTGTCTCAAACAAAATAACTTCAAGCCAAAGTTAATCAAAAGGAATAAAGATGGACATTTCATACTGCTTAAGGGAAACATACATCAAAAAGACATAACAATTATAAATATATATGCCCCCCAAAATGGAGCATTTGTGTTTATCAATCAAACTCTTCTCAAGTTCAAGAGTCAAATAGACCACAACACAATAATACTGGGAGACTCTAACACATCTCTTTCACCACTGGATAGATCTTTCAAACAAAAACTGAACAAAGAAACTATAGAATTCAATAATATAATCAATAACTTAGACTTAATTGACATATATAGAGTATATTATTCATCAAGGAACGAATACACTTTCTTCTCAGAAGCACATAGGTCCTTCTCTAAAATAGATTATATATTATGCCACAGAGCAACTCTTAGCAAATACAAAAAAGTAGAGATACTGCCCTGAATTATATCAGATCATAACAGAATAAAATTAGAAATCAATAACAAAATATAAAATAAAAGCTATTTCATCACTTGGAAACTAAATAATATGCTATTGAATTAACAATGGGTTGCAAAAGATATCAAGGAGGAGATTAAAAAAATTCTTAGAGGTAAATGAGAACACAGATACAATATATAGAAATCTCTGGGACACTATGAAGGCAGTTCTAAGAGGAAAGTTCATTGCATGGAGTTTATTCCTTCAAATAAGAAAAAGTCAACAAATAAATGACTTAACATTACATCTCAAAGCCCTAGAAAAAGAAGAACAAATCATCCCCCCCAAAGCAGTAGAAGATGGTAAATAATTAAAATCAGAGCTGAAATCAATGAAATTTAAACAATTGAAAAAATTGATAGAACCAAAATTGGTTCTTTGAAAAAATAACAAAATTGACAGACCCTTAGCTATGCTGACAAAGAGGAGAGAGAAAACTCAAATCACTAAAATATGTGATGAAAAAGAAAATATCAGGACAGACACTACAGAACTATAGAAGATAATTAGACATTATTTTGAAAATTTGCACCCCAATAAAATAGAAAATATTGAAGGCATTGACAAATTTCTAGAGGCATATGATATGCCCAAACTAAATCAGGATGATATACACAATTTAAACAGAACAATTTCAAGCAAGGAAATAGAGGACACCATCAGAAGCTTACCAACCAAGAAAAGCCCAGGACCAGATGGACACATAGCTGAGTTCTACAAGACCTTTAAAGAAGAACTAACACCAATACTTCTCAAAGTATTTAATAAAATAGAAAAAAAGGGAACACTTTCAAACTCATTCTATGAGGCTAATATCACCCTGATTCTAAAACTAGACAAAGATATATAAAAGAAAGAAAAATTCAGATAAATATCACTAATGAATATAGGTGCAAAAATTCTCAA